CCTTGTGGTTCCGCGTGAAGTTTTGGGCTCAGTAACATATGAAGCATCCAACAGGTACTGTAAGGTGCCCCTTTGTAAAACCTAATTTGGGCCAGCAGTTTAAGGTAAGTTTATTTGCACATTTAAAAACAATTTACAGAAAGCCCTTTCGTGGTACCTCACCTAAAGGGAAGAATAAAACATGCACCAAATTAAAGATATACAACATGATGCAAAGTAAAATGTCAGTAAAGACACATATCTTCAATACAGTTGACACTACTGAGAAGACATTAACAGGACATCAAATAAATCAGTACTATGCAGAAACACAGCAGCCGCACAGCACAGTGATGATTTATACAATACGAAATCTTTCTGTCATTAACCCACATTTAAGTTTCTTTTTAGTTTTGGGACAAGGACATAGAGTCAGTTAAAAAGTTCAAGCTCATGTTCCACAGTTGGGCTCCACGGTGTCTTAATGAATACTGTCGTCTTGATGTATGATACATTGGTAGGTACTGTAAAGGTTAGTAATTAGTCTAGTTGAAAAAAATTAACCTGAGAGCAGCTCTTTGTGTTCGGAGTATCAACACATGGAAATCCTTACTCACAAACCTCGAACTAGATCTTGACTGGGATCATTTTAAACTCAACTTGAAACAGTTTATTTAAGAGTGTTCAGCCATGTATTTATGGATGACCAGGTGCTTCTTGTTTTATGCTGCTTTGTTGTGTTGTATCATTGTTCTGTCTTTATTTTCTTGTTGAGTTCTAGTATTAATATTGACTTTGTGTTTATTACTGTCCCTTGGGTATTTGTTGTTGACTTGTATGAATGTATAGACCAATCTATGGATGGGCATTGTAAAGTACCTGGGGCTATAAACGCTGTGGTTATACAAATAAACGTAGTTCACAATCACAGTATTGAAAACATACTTTCAAGGTAGAGCCTTGCTGCTGTCTGATGAACATAATCAAAGACATTTTTCACTGCACCCTAAGCCCTGACTCTCCCACAGTACAGTGCTCGCTGGTGTCTTCACTGTTTAACTTAAGACATGTGCCCTTCTTTCCCCTTGCTCATCGCAGTGTCTGGGTTGAACATAAAGGCATAACTTGTCTGTGATTTTACATACTACTACTCCTTTTCTATCCACTCCCCATTCTACTCTGCACTCATTAGGGACCAACCTTTGTCTGAGTGTTAGAGGCCATCTCATGTCTGTCAAACTACCAGATAATGGCTGCCCTGCTCTTTACCATGCACCATGTTCACTGTGATCTTTGAGGACATCATTATCCTCTTCATGTGTTCCAACAGAGTGTGGTGTCTCAGTGTTAACCCGAGAGTTTGGTATGATTCTCCGCAGATTTTTTTTTTTTTTTTTTTTTTTGTGATAATGGCACACAAGTTTTCATCATACAGTCTTTGATATGCAGCGTGAATGCATTTAATCAGGACATGTACAATGCTTTTCCCGTTTTGTCTCTTCTTTTAAAAAGTTTCCTCTTGTTATCAGCACATTGCTCTTTCAGTGCCCATTCATAATTGCTGATATTGCTACAATATCTTGTTGTGTGCCGCATAATAAGCAGGTTTGCTATCAATTACTAGTGCAGCAGGAATGAACACCTGCCTTGTTCTCACTCCATTACCTTCCCTGGCACATTACATGCCTTTTAATATATTTAATAAATCTTCGCTTTAAAACCATGCCTTACCTTTTTTAAGGTCCTCATCAATGTGTCAATACTCTTACCTTTCTCCACACCTCAAACAATGCAATCTCCCTGTTGGGTTACATCTTTGTTCTTCTTCATGTTTCTTTTTTTCTCCTTTTTAAAGCAAAAGTCATTTCCTCTGCGCCGTCCCTCTCCGCTGCACATGCCCACAGGACACTCTATTTCATCTTGCTTTGAACTCTTTTTAATTTTGCGCAGTAGCGGTTTTTTATTAACATATTTATTCATTTATGACTCCTCTCAAAGCCCTCTGCATATGAGCACACCTTTATTCTCTCGTTCTTCCGCTTTCTTTCTCCCCTCTCAGCTCTCGACTCTCCACAGAGAACGGGCCTCGCTAATGCAGTGTTAGTTTAATCCCTGCCACCCTGTCAGAGGCTATTTTCTCTGGGTCCTTTTCTTACTACAGCAGCAGCGAGCACGGCCAGAGTTTTGGGGCTCTCTCAGCTCACTGGCTCCTGTCTAGACGTTCTCCACCCTGCACATAGAGGTGTCTTTTTTTTTTCTTTTTATTTCCCCAGTCAAGGGAGGAGCCTGTCTCCAGTCCTCAAGGTCAAGGTGTCTTTCTAAGCATTGCATGGCGGATCATCCCCTTCCACTCTCCCTAACACCCACTTCCCACCCTGATGGCAGCCACCTGTCAATAGCTGAACTCCCCCACCTAGATAATAATAACCTAGCCAGAAACCATCTTTCATCAAGTGTCCTCGCTCCATTTGAATAGAGGGAGATTGTGGGCAGGATGCTGAAAAGACAGCTGAGGAGCCTCCTCCTGATGTGCGACTACTTGCAAGGTGGCAGTGACAGCAAAGGGGATGCAGGTGGTTATATAATTAGAGCAAGGTCATGTGAAAGTTTCCAACAGTTGTCCAGTTGCTTATTTTCCTTCTTGCACTGAGATTGTAACCAGATGACAGTTATAAGGAAATGCACCAGTGAAACAATTCAAGTGTATGTTGTTTGTTCTAGGTATTCTTAGCATGGTATTCTTAGACGGACCTGTCGTTCGGTCCACCACTTTGGTCCGGACTGAAATATCTCTACAACTGTTTGATGCATTACTTTGAAATTTTGTGAAGACATTCATATTTTAGAGAAGATGCAGCCTACGGACTTTAGTAATCCTTTGATTTTTTATTGAAAGTTATGGATTCAAGTAAAATGTCTAAGCTAAACAACTGTTGGTTGGATTGCTGTTAAATTTGGTTTAGACATTCATCATCTGACATTTCCTTCTGCACCATAATGCAGTCAAAATTATAATTTGTCCAATATTTTGGTTTATGACCAAACACCTACAAAACTAATGACATTCCAGTCAGCCTCAGATGTTGTCTGTGTTAGTGACTGCCCATTGTTATGATGGCCCATAATTCTGAATCCCCAGTAGTCGTTAATATGGTCCCATTGGACATATTAACAACAGCCTGTTACCCTGAAACAAACACTCATTGCACCAAAGGGCCATTTCTCTGATTGGCTAGTACTCTTTGCCTTCGGGTTGGGTTGGGTTGGTTAGATTTAAGCATGAGGAATGAGATTGGTTGAAGTTACGATAAGAATATCAGCATTAGCCAGTCAGAGGCAGAGTAGGGCAGGTCATGCTTTTTCCGTAATAGGAACTAGGGCTGTAGTCTCCTGGTCGACTAGATGATTATTTGGTTGCTATGCTCTCATCCGACCAAATTGTCATTGGTTGAATAATCACTGTGTTACTTTCATAAGGAGAAAAGTGCTGCATCAACAGCTTTCCAGGATTAATCCATTATTTCCTGCAGTGGGGGGGGCAGGCTAAGTGACCTGTGAAAATGGGGGTGTTTCAAAACACCCCTGTTGTTGACAGAAAGTTGAACTCGCCCACCCTCACACTGAGTGTCGCGGTGACGCAGACCTCCTGTCTGTTTCTGTATGCTGACACCAATTCCCTCAGTGGAAATGAAGCTTGTATTTACTTGTATTTCAGCCTCCACTAAAATAGCATTTTAAGTCGTGTGTGTGATATATCCTTCAGGGATTTATACTTCAGGATTTATCCTGGCTTCATATGAGCAGAGGAAATCTCCGCCTGCGCTAGGCTAATGTATACAATGTACAATGCCATAGGCTGGCGCTAATAACATTAGCATGTTGTATTTGCTTGGAAAACGTGTTTAGTATAAGACAGTTGTTTTGCCTGTCTGCAGACAGGCATGATGCGCTACAAATCAAAACTAAGCTAACCCTTAACTTTTTAAGCACTCCAATAACCTGGTGAAGCATAAAAAAAATTATGTTTTTGTTTCAAGCTGAGTAGAGGGTTGAACCCTAGAGTGGGAGAGCCCTTCTGTGCGGAGTTAGCATGCTCTCCCTGAGTCAGCATGGGTCCTCTTTGGGTACCCAGGCTTCCTCCCACCATCCAAAGACATACAGGTTAGGTTAACTGGTGACCCTAAATTGCCCGTTGGCATGATGGTGAGTGTGAATGGTTGTCTGGCTCCATGTGTCAGCCCTGCAATAGTCTGGCGACCTGTCCAGGATGTACCCCACCCCTCGCCCAATGTCGGCTGGAATAGGCTCCAGCCCTCCCACAACCCCCAACAGCATAAGCGGTTAAGGAGAATGAATGAATGAATGAATGAATGAATGTTTTAAGCTGTGGTACTGAGGTATTCAGCTTAGTTGGCTATGCTAACTTTATCTGCATTGCAGTGCACACAATGCAATGGAGCAGTGAAATGTGATGTTGAAATGGGGCTCAGACATGGACCAAAACCATAGCCTAGATATGTTCTGATCAAATACAAACTTAAGATGAAGTGGCAAGTAGCAGGCACACAAGCCAGTGATGAAGTAGCTACCTTAACAAACCCTTCAACACTTGGCAACTATGCGATAATGTAGCTCGTCACACTGTTGCAGTGTCGTTGTGTGAACACAGCATTAGTCTTGTTTAAAAAATCTTTATGTCCATTACAATACAAGCACAGTAATCCCTGTACCACATTGTAATTAGTAGTGAGTCAGGATATTTTCCCTGTGGATGGGTGCTGATCTCTGGAGTGTAAACCTTCTCTCCTTCCCGACAAAGTCCCAAATCTTGTCACATATCACGCACTCACCCCTCTTTTTTTCCCTCTAACCCTGCTTCCTTCAATCAGATGGACAGATAAGTGGCAGACCCAAGGGGGCATTCAAGGTGCTGAGCCTATATCTTAAGTGCTCTGTCTCTCTCTTGTCTTTCTTTCCCCTCCCTTTGTCTCTCTCTCTATCCATCTCTCTCTGTCTTTCAGATGCCAAGGAGATTGTGTTGAAAGCTCAGATTCTGGCTGGTGGCAGAGGAAAGGGCGTGTTTGACAGTGGCCTTAAAGGTGGAGTGCACTTAACCAAGGAGTAAGTATGCCTCTATCTACATTTCACATTCATGACTGTAGGAGATAGATTCATATTATTTCTCCTGCGACAGCGACTTTGAGAGTGAGGAGGCTCAAAGAGTTCTCTGAAGATGCTCCCAAGGCACAAAGACACAGTCAGGATTACTTGAGCTGCAAATAAACAGTTTTTTTCTTTCTTCCAGTGTCTTGTTTTCCAACAACTACCCTCAATTAAATGTTGAAAAAGTGATTTTAAGGTCGGCAGAAGCGTTTTGCACCCCATACTGTGTTCTCCTCTCTCGGGTTGATTGGGTTTTGTGCCGTTGCTGAGGTTTATTTTGTTCTGGCTTAGAGTTACAAAGTGTGATGAGTGTATTCCTTCAGTAAAGGCTCACTCCAGAATTGTGTGCATTTTTCAAAAGGCTAAACAGCAACTTGAAAGGATTTTTCTTTGCTCAGGCGCTGCATTTCCTTCTGCCAAGTTTCCAGGACTAAAACAGTGCTATCGTTTCAATAAAGGTACCCACCACTCCCTGCCGCCTTAAAGGCAAAAAAGGTGATTTATGACGATTGTCCCAGATATGTATCATCGTCACCCTACTTCAGGGTTCGGAATGGCCGGAAACTTTCTCAAAGTGAGATATGCTGAAGTTCAGTGTCCCCAGACAGTGACATGAGTGCACAGTTCACCTTCCTCTCATCCATCAAAAGATGAGTACAACCCCAGCTTCATTTTTATTCACTAACAAAACCAGAGCAGGCTTTCAGAAGCAGCCCCGGCACGCAGTACAAGCAGAGGTTCATTCACAGCGATGTGTAGATGTACCAAAGTGTATCCAAAAACTGTGCTTTGTCAGAATATGTTACATTAATGCCCAGAAAGTGCTGAGGCATATCTCTCTTCAGCTGAACAAAACTCCGGAGAGATAAAGAAATACTGATTCATCTGTCAGGTTCACCTGCTTTTCTCATCTTTCATCTTGTAAGTGTGTGCTTTTCAGTGATTTTTGTTTTTGTTTTTTTAAATTAAGACTGTTGTTTAGAATAAGAACACTGTTTGACTTGTAACCTCTCTCCTTTAGCCCTGCTGTGGTTGGTGAACTGGCCAATAAGATGCTGGGTTTCAACCTGACTACCAAACAGACACCAAAAGATGGAGTGAAAGTGAAAACGGTGAGCCGCTGCACAGACTGAAGGAAAGAAAGATATACTTTGCTTTTTCTTTTTGTGTTTTTTTTTTTTCCTGACCTCATTTCAAGGCATTTTGAGTCCAGTAATGCAGTTCTGTAAAATTAATGACTGTGAAGGCAGTCTGGCTCTATGGTTTTTGTGTTTTTTTCTTCCACTAGGTCTAAATAGTAGCCTTCCACTGTTGTTTACTGTGGGTTTGCGCTGGCTGGTGTTATGGCTCATTGCATAAATTGAACTGGGCCCACTGTGAATTTAAAGTGTTTGGTAAACAACTGTTTCTATGTGCCACTAACAAGCAGGAATATCATTTTCTCTACTCGCTTGCTGCATGCAGTACCTCCTCAAAACAGACATTGCCAGGTGATGAAGCCTTTTGAGTCTGTAGCTTGTGTGTGGGTCCCCCGCTTTCTTTCTTCATCTCTCCCCATCTCCCTTTACCCCTGCTACCCCCCTGTTCCACCTAACCTCTCCTCCTACTCCTGTTGCAGAGTTTAGGTCGAATCAAATGAGTATTACACTTGTCATTTTTATAGAAAGCACCTGCGGACCAGGAAGTCCACAAGCTCACAATGAACTCCATGTCTCAGAGGCAGAGGAGAAGGTAAACAAACAACAACATAAACTGACAAAAGTTGAATTAGATGTGGGCGAGAAGAGACGTGACCTCCAATTGGCCATCATATAGTCTTACTGAAAGCATCCTCTTTCAGCATGGGCACTGAAATCAGACCAGGCAAGAGCAGCCATTGACTGACCTAAAGGATCGAGTACAGTTAGAGATGTACCAGTCAAGTGATCCTGCTGCACAGTGCACACTACAGGTACCCTTAAGTAATTAGAAATCCAATATATATGTATGATCAAAGAAAAAAAATGCATCCAAGCAATTCCTTAGTGCTTTTTTTTTTTTTTTTTTTTTTTTTTTGTTAATAAAATAAAGTATAAAATAACAAATCCACTCTTTAATCTTTTTGGCCTTGTCACTGTCTCGAGGGACTTTCTCTGTCCCTTTAAGAGACTATTCTCCAGTGTTTGCTGCGTTTATGTTCGTTATCTGAACATCTGACCCTACATTAATTATTAAATTAACTATTGACATTTTATTAATTTATTAGCCTACTCCTATTGGCTTGTAGCTTTTGTCTCAATTGCAGTGATGTGGTGAGTGTGACAGTCCACTGTCTGTCTCTCCTCAGCCTACAGTGAAATATCATGCACCAGAGATGAAGTAAGGTAAAACACAAGACTCTCACTGAGCTGAAATGAGTGTTTAAAATTTCGGTAAATGACATAAACATTGCATTTTGCTGTTGTTTATGGTGTGTGGTGTTTCACCGCTGGCAGGGCTCAGACAGTTGTGGAGTTAAAGACGGCTGCACTCTTTGCACAGCTGTGAATAAAATCTTTGCAAGTAAGAACACCTGTGTTACAGCTGGCGTAAAACAAAGGACCGTAACAAACTCTTTACAGCTCAACATAGCCAGTCCTGATCATTACAAAATGCCTTAATCGGTCCTGATACAGATTTTTGAGATTGGTTCGGGACATCCCTAAGTACAGTAATGGTGTAGTCACAACCTGGTCTGTCAGATGACAGCCAGAGTTTAGCTGTCAACCCCTCAATGGAGCTCACGTCAACCCTCAACCCATGCTGCACCACAGAGCAGAGCACACCACAGGGAACGGGACAGCACTTCACCATCTACATGGATTTGCTGTCATGGCACAGATAGAAGGATGAGAAGAGAAGGGCAGATGAGACAGGGAGTGTAAAAGATGGCTGTGGAGAAGAACGTAGGAGGCTAAAACGAGTGTTTTAGGGGGAAAGCAAAGACCGAGACAGTTGGAATGGAATATGTTTAGTTTGAGTGAAGAATCAAGCCACGAGTCGAACAACAGGGAACTTAAGAGAGCATTTGAGCGACTGGAGAAGACAACATTTGGACAAGGAGATAGGAGTGCTGTCTGTGAACATGGAGGGTAGAGAAGACCATCCATCCTCATTTGCTGGGCGACAGGGTGGAGACAGAACATAAGGGCTGTGCATGTTCAAACAAACACTTCATCCAAAAACCTGCAGCCCATTAACTGCCACACAACTGATAGTTTCCTATCAGGTTTTTTCTTTCTCTTTTCCAAATGAGCCTCTCGCTTGCTTCCTCTTTCTGCTTGTCTGCCAGGCTCTGAGTTACCTTGCTCTCTATTTGCCTCCCTTTCTCTTATTCACAGCATAAAAGATTTTCTCAGAGCTATGCTTCGTAGATTCTGCCAATCAGTGGACCCTGCTTATTTGCCTGTGTCATTGTGTTTAATCTAGTGTTGAATATCATGGACATTTTTAAAGATGTAATCATTGTAATGTAAAAATTTAAGTCTACCAGGGGAACATCAAGAAAAATCAAAAGGTATTTTCATTAGAGCTGTAGTAGGTACTCTTTCTTTCATTAGCCCCTCTTTCCTCTGCTGTGCCATATCCAGGTGATGGTTGCTGAGGCCCTGGACATTAGCAGGGAGACCTACTTTGCCATCCTGATGGACCGCGCCTGTAATGGTCCTGTCATGGTAGGCAGCCCCCAGGGGGGTATGGATATTGAGGAGGTAGCCGCCAACTCGCCAGAACTCATCTTTAAGGTATGTGATTTGTGGCTTATAACCATCACTACAATATCAAATGAGAAGAATAGGAAAACTAGGGTACTGTTCACGTTTGAAACAATACCGGTACCTGTAATTTGGTCCGGTCATACTTTTTTAGTGCTTAACTTCCTGTGTAATAACAAAGATGGGATTTTTTTAAGAAAGCTGCAGGGCTGACTTGGTTGACTAAAAAGCAATGCTGCTCCTCTGCACGTTGAGCTAATCTTCTGTCTGTCAGTTTCGTGTGTGTGTTTGCGTGTCTGCTCATCTACCAGTGATAAAAGGCTATTACCAAAATTATATTGAAAAGGAAAAAGACCAGACGACAAAACTATTGTGACATATCCTTACTGCAGCAAAAGTTTTGGATCACTAGGAAGCCAACAGATTTACTATGGAGCTTTGGCATCCCAGCTTGGCGGTGCTTCTGTCTCTTGTCTGAAGTTAAAGAGCTGCAACACCGGCCTCAGAGCTCCGTGGCCGGCTTCCCAGTCTCGGGGTGCTTTGCAGCACCTCCACCTTTTATCTAAGCCTGGCTTTCTCACCTAGATGCACTTTCGGGTGCTGAGTTTGGCACCAATGGATTTAACATGAATTGGTACTTGGTAGTAGAGTCATAATTTGGTCGGTACCAAATTACAGACTTCGGCACCTAACCCAATCAAAATTAAAACATATCTGCCTCAAAAAACAATGAAGAGGTTCAAATTAATTGATCCTGTCCAGCACTCTTGGAACCCTCATCATTGTTTCTTAAAGATCTGACTAACTTTAAACCATGCCAGGGCTGGATTCTTTAGCAGCCCTCTCAGATGGAGTTCTCAGTTTATATTTCCTGCTAATTCAGTTAAATGTATTGTCCTGCCTGCGTGCACACTGCAACAGCTGAACATGATGCACACATATAGCAATTCTCTAAAGCGTAACATGAACAGATACACAGCCTTCTGTGCTATAAATTGCTACTAATGAGATTTCATATACACAACTTGAATCCAGTGTAGTCACTCGGCTACTTGGCAACAGGTCCTTGTCACTGATAACAGATGTACAATTTAAGTAATACAGATGGAGTTTGCCTCTATTTCCTGTTGTTGTATATCCTCCTTTCACTATTGTCTGCAGATGTTGGAGCAGATTGTGAAGATACAGCTGAGATTTATATCATTCATTATTTCCACCGGAGATTTCAGATTGTATGTGCGATACACAGCTGTGGTGTTGCTTATCTAACACACATGATAGCCCCTCAAACATCTCATTAAAATCTATATGGTCCAGACCTAGTTTGTACAGAATAGGTGCACACCAGCTAATGACAGCAGCAGTTTTAGACTCACTGTCTTCACGACTGTGCACACTGAAATCCTTCATCCATTTTTATACCTATGGAAAAAAAAAAAAGTTGATAAGCGAGCTTCTCGCTATCTGAAGTCAAGGATACAGGAGTCTGATGATCATAAATCCAGCGTCTCAGCCCCAAGTCTCTTTTCTCGATGTCTGGCAGCTTGCCACTACTTAATTATGATGTCTGCAGTTTAATATGAGCATCCGCTTTGTGTCAAATTATAGCCCAGCATTTGAGCCTCTTGTTCTCTTTCACTCCATTTCTCCATTTGTTTCCTTCCCTCCTTTCTTTCTCTCTCTCTCTCTGCAAAATCCTATAGGAAGTCATAGATATATTTGAAGGCGTGCGAGACGACCAGGCACTCCGCATGGCAGCTAATTTGGGTTTCAAAGGACCTCTGCAGAGACAGGTAATGGGTGCACTGAAGGCTTTAAAGACACAATGCAAAGAAGAGGCAGAAAAATCTACAATGCACACACACACACACACACACACACACGCCCATATGCACAGACAGATGAATCCTCATTGACAAACACACCAAACTTTGGCTATTATTAGTTTTCTGGAGGCAAGTTGTGAAGTGTCATTACACTAGGCTCACTTGCCAGGTGGTCTATTGTCATATATCTGGCAGTGACGCACAGCACAGCGCTGTGCCAGGCTGAGGGAGCTGACATCACTAATGGAACCATCATCTGATAGAACATGTCTCACATTGATTTTGTGAGTGAATCATCCAGTAAGAAACGAAACTCGTCACAATGGGCAACCTATAATTTTGAGGACAGCGAACAAACATTTTCTCTTGTCATCTCAAGTTTTACAAATGTTGCTCAGGCAGCATTAGCTAGTAAAAAGAGGCCAGGGAAGAACAGTACAGAAACACCAGAGGTTCACATTCAGAATGAGTATGTGTGCTTTGATATAGAGTTCATTTCAAAGCCATTTGTCTCTTGGCATCAGATCATTAATTTGTTTTCTTTACCACAGGCACCATGGCATGAGAAATCAGATTAGCTCAGAATCTTAGCACATGGAATACGTATAAGTCAGCCAAGTGAATCTGCAGAAAAGCAAACTAAAAGTCAAGAATGTTTGAGCTTTGGTTGCATCGAAGTGGATGCGATCCTTTTTTTTGCAGGATACTGAATGGGCATTGATTTTAAACAGGCAAGGGGAGAAATAGAAAGTGATTGGTTAAGTTTCTGCATTGTCAGTATGCTGCTGCGAGTCAGCTGCCAGACTGTTTAATTCAGAGATAATTACAGCTCCTCTTCTTTTAACACCTTTACCGTCTTGAATGAGCTATGGGATGACAGGATCTTTGTGTAGATGCAAGAGTGTGCCTACACTGATTGTGTGTGTGTGAGACAGGAGAAAAGTAAGTGAGCTTGGTGGACTTTGTCTGGAGCTGTGCATTTAGAAGTCTTTCAATGCTGTGTCAAGCTGTCTTCATTACTAAAGAACAGTTGCAGCAATACAGAGATCAATTGAAGTGCTTTTAAAATGGAGATTTTGACAGTGATGATTTAAGTGTTGTGGCATTTCTATGTTGCTTTGTTGACTGGCTGCATTCATCTTTTGTCCATAGACTGTAAATATCAATCCTACATGTAAAAAAAAAAGCTACAGCCAGGTTATAATGATATATATGTGAAACTACATTTGTATGTGCTGCAATGCATGTCCTATTTGCCAGTTGTCACCTTTTGGAAAAAAAATAAGAGAAAAATATTCCCTTTCAATACAGAGACACACATATTCATGCAAAACAAACTCAGACAGTGTGATGTTGAAGGTGATTTGCCGTGTTTTATGTAGCCTGTGTGGGAGGCTGAGTGGCCTTGGCGGGGCCGGCTGCTCAGAGCCGAACCATGCGGTAATTACTGTCCTATGTGGACTTCACAGGCAGCAGATCAGATTAAGAGGCTCTATGATCTGTTCCTGAAAGTCGACGCCACTCAAGTCGAAGTCAATCCTCTCGGAGAGACTCCCGAAGGACAAGGTACCTTGTATCGTGGAAAATGCCTGTCTTTGTGTGTGTGTGCGCCTGTCTGTGTGTGTGTGTGTGTGTTGACTTGGCCTCTGTCTATATGTGTGCATGTGTCTTTGCATGACTCTGCATGTGTGTCATTAACTGTCCCCAGATCACGTCAAATATCTGCAATATTTCAACGCTTTAAATACAGAGCATTTTTTGCAGCAACATGCAGCCACCTATTAATCACTGTGACTGTGGCACACCATATCCTCGGGTCTGAATGCATTTAAGAATGTGAAGTGTAATTGCAACACATTGACGTCAGTTTCTTGTCGGCATGACTTTGTTTGGATCAAATTCCAAATGGCTTCAGGGAGTTGAGATTTCCATATTCATAGCATGTTGATGTTTGTTGATGAGTCCTAGTTGCTGATGATTAACTAAAGGCGCACAGTCTATCATCAACTAGTAATGAGGAACTCCAATGAGCAATTACAGCAGCAGCAACATCCTTCATTTATTCTACGGTCGTCAAAGAGTAACCACTTAGGGATAATCTATGAATATTTAAAAAAAAAAAGAAAATCTGATAAGCTGCATGCTTTAAATGACATACTGTAGACATACTGTATATCAGGCCTTAAAAGTCATTGAAATACCTAAAATTGAATTGGTTTTCATTTCAGCAATAACAGTGTTTTTGATTGCTTTATTTTTATTATAGTTAGTTCAACTCCTCAGCAGCAAAATCTAAAAAAAGCTGTATTGCTTAACTTCTGTTGTTAAAAATGAGCAGCTCTAGATAAACCCAGCCACCCTGCCATTTTAGTATAGAAAGAGTTGGTAAATCAGAGTAATACCCCATTCAACATTATGTAAGTGTTAGAATTATCGCACTATTCACCCACCGTTTTGTGTCGTAAAAGATCTGTTTTCTCTTGGATCCTTCAGTTGAAAATCAACCTTATTCTGATTTTTAACAATGAGCTGAACCAAAAATACTTAGGCACACTAACCTGGAGCTCCTTTAGTATGAGCGAGAAATTCAGTGTTTCTGAATAGAAAATAAATGAAAAGGTCAGGAGATAATCATCCTCAGTTCACTGTCTCTATAGTAACACACCCTAGCGTATATGTTTAGTCCTTTGAAATTAACTTTTAAGTAATTAGATTGAGGACATATTTATTGTGGAGTCAAGATATCAAGATGTCCCTATTGTCCGTCAGCTCTTTGTACAAATAGAAATTGCCACAGTGAGGCTGAAGTCTAAATACAGACTGTCGGCTCGTCATTATTATGCTGGAAAGGCTGTGTAAAACAGTGGTAGTAATGTAAGATTAATGGAGGTCTAAATTGGTAGTTGGCCTTTTTTTAACAAGTGACAGACTCTCAGTTGTACCGCATTAAAAACAATTCCAGAGTTGTCACTTGTCATTTCAAACTTTCCCACATGAATTGTCCAAAACATATTATTAGATTTGTATTGTATTTGGTCTCTTAAAGTAGCAGTGTGTAGGATATAGTGGCATCTAGTGGTGAGGACTGCAAATTGCAATCAGCTGAAACGTCGCCCATGTGCCAAGCCTGAATTCCCGGTTTGAATTCCTTCAGTGTTCATTGTTCAGGGGGTTTTTACTGGGAGCTGAATTATTCCCAGAGGTCTCCTCCTCTACAAAACACAAGAGTCACATTTATAGCTACTGTGTACACACAAATGATGCCAGAAAGAGGCGTCGACACTTCCCAAACAAAAGTTGCGTATGAACATTTTAGACAGGGGAAATTGGCAATGCAGGTGGTGAGGTGGTTAATTGAAGCCAGATTGTAGAAATTAAATGTGAGAGGAGTCATTATATGTACAATGGTGTCCCTCACACATTAAATTTCACTTAATTTCACGTTACTTACAGATCCACCTTATCATAACTATTCAGACCAGCCTCAGTGTTTTATTGTACTTTTGGTATTGAGCCAGAACTTTTCGACAAACACGTTTCAGTTGTAAAAATTATAAGACAACTCAAATCTCTATTTCATCAGTGCTGTCTCACCATCACCATTCCCATCCCCAGAGAACAGAGAGGGCCAGACACACCATATGGTCAGCTGGGAAGTGCACCACAGCCTTTGAACATCAAATAGTGTTAAATAATTGCAAAACAGAGCGTCAACAGAGTTCAGTGATATCATCTAATACTGTAAATATATTTCACCAAGTACGATTTAAGTTTTCATATAGTTTTTGAGTTTAAAATTGCTGCAGTGACTCGAGACATGGCCGTTGCTACCACACATACTTTGCCTACTCCAGTCACCTTACTTACATCTTCACCACCATATGGATTGTGTAAATTAGCAAAGTCTAGAAATAAAGCCACTGACAGTTATTAAACTCCATATCCTCATCATCCTAATGAGTCCTAATCATAATGCAGGTCAAGTTCACCATAACAAACTTAAATAAATTCAAGTGATATCCCAGGGTCGGGGATACCACTGATTATCAGGAGTTGTTGCCATGATTCACTGTAAAGACCCACTGATTAACAGGCTTATTTATATGCATCAGCATTCATGAGGTGCTTTGCATTGAGCATTTATGGTCGAATATGGGCGTGTATTTTGCTAAATTAATGGTCTGTCTCCACAGAATTCAACTCGGTACATATAGGCTAGTCCATAATTACTATGTAGAGCACAATTCAGAGTGTGTGCATATTGGAACTGGCAGCTTTACACTGATTTCCGACAAGTCTTTCACAAACCACATCAGTGATGGCGGAGCTTAAAGTTACGTCCGGGGTCCGCCGGGCACGTCAGCGGCGCGACACGTCTGCAGCGCGAGTCCCGTAGCAGCTCGCCCCCCGTTAATCTATTACAGCGGCTCCACCGGCAACGGGAGCGCCACGACAACTCTCTATTTTACACGGCTCTTCTATTTTTGTCGCGCTACGCTCCCCTACGCGACCCTCCAGCAGATATAAACTACATGAAATAGTGTGCTAAACGAGCACAATGTGTTTTTAAATGAATAAACCATTATCAGAGGTTATAGCCTATGTGATGTGATTTTTTTTTCATGCATTTACCCATGTTTATCCGTGACATTGTGTAAATGTCCGTGGCGGACATTTGAAAGCGAGTAGATGACAAACAGTACAGTAAACTTGTAGATAACTCAAATATATGTAATAAATTAGGTGGAAAATGCTTTAACTATCATGGCTCAGCAAACAGTAAACAAGACGCTTGACGTGACGCTGTTTGCAGCCGGTGGAACCCGGCCAGTTGGAAATTTTTAACATATCGCCCAACCCTACCCCTTATGTAGATGTAGTCTCGCCACCAGACAATCAGAGATCTCCGCCTTCTGATAGTCTGGGGACACTCCTTTCTAAAGTGTGTTTAACACACCGGCGAAAACGGCCGGCAACAAAGCAACGGCTCTTGCATTTTTGAAAAGGACACGCCCTCCCGGAAATGTGCGCTCCCCTTTTCTCGTCCGCAAGGCAACAAACACACAGAGAGATTGGAAATGGATGCCGAGAGATTTGACTCCATTTCATCAAACGTGTGCTCAGTCCACAAGATTGTGGAAATGAAGGACTTACAGCGACTTGAGCCATTTTGTACCGCTACACGTGTTTCTAGTCGGACTATGTTTACAAGCACAAGAGTTCAGAGAGCCACCGAAGGACCGCCATGCGGATTTACTATTGGTTCTGCAACATAGGGAGTTTTTTTAAACTCTGAAATTGTATCCGCCCATCTAAACACAGACTCAGGGAGAAAGTCATCAGTCTTTAGTTAAGCAAAGTGTCTAGACTGACTTGTGAGTCTAATGTAGATGTAAATAGCTCATTCTAAGGTAATAAACAAAATAGTTCCTATTTTCAGGTGATTACACAATAAAGACAACATACTTATTGTATTATATTACGTTTCTGAGAATATGTCTCCCTAAATCCGACACACTGGACCTTTAAATGTAACTCTGAGTACAACATTCATGGCATGCTTTTTTAAATTGTCTCCAAAAACAGCTGGAAGAGCTGATCCTAAACAGCTTTCTCTTTGGGGGCGATTCTGTAATTCGGAGCCAACACCAAGTTCCTTTTGTGTCAAATAACACTTTTGGTATCATACCCTGAGAACCTTACCGTACCCAAACCCTGATCTGTTTTGCATCTCCTCTGCTGATAAATGTATGAGGGGTTTTTACTCACTGCTACACCCAGCTCTCACTCTATGTCCTCTTCACCAAAGTGCAGAGGAACATCTGCACTTTGGTGATCATCCACAGAATGGGGATGCGCGCTGCTGTTTTTAGAACAAAAAGAACAGGCTGGAGTGTTTGGAGTCTCTGTCACAATCAATAGGCTATTTAAAAGTGGTGGGCTTGTGAACTGAGTCCTTGTCAAGCAAAAGTGATGATTCTCTCAATGAGCTGTAGTATTTCTAGCGCCATCTTTTAGTTTCCCATCAGTTTGCTACAGTTGGTAACCCCAACATCTGGGTAATGAAAAAACTAGATGGAATGGAGAGGTTTTGTCAGTACCACACGCTAGTTTTGACAATGGAAACCCAAAAATAACGACTCTAATGTGTAACAAACTGAACTAGATCAGACTGCCGGGTGGGAACAAGGCTTTATAGTTTGCATGGAGATTCAGATCTTAAATATAGCTACGGGTCCAGCTTCAATCTGTGAGCTCAAAGCCTGCCTCAGTCCAGTTTCTACAGTCTGTACATGTGTTTCTCTGTCTCCCTTTCTTAAGTGTTCCCTGATAGATGAAAACACTTGAATTCCCCAGGAAAAAAGAGACGTGTAAATTTCCCTCCCTCAGTGTCACTTAACACAATAAATTGCACAACATGACACAAGTGGAGGTTAGCAGGTAAACATTTCAGGTGCCCATCATTCAGATGAGAGACACATTATACATAGTCACGTAGCATATTCAAGCTGTTGTGCTGCTGCTTTCATTGAACTTGTACTGAACTTTGTTTTCTCCCAAAGAAATAAGAGTGATTGTCTTGTCTATGGCACCGAACACAGATTGACTGTGATGTGTCCTATCGAGACGTATTACAACACGCTGAAGATGCATCACTTCTTTGATGTTATTTAGTCTCCTCGACAACAGATTCTTGTTCAAAGTATGCTTTATCAAAGATTGACAAGGGAAGTTTGTTGTTTCATGATTTCTTATGAATATTAATGAATAAAATGACTCCTTTCAAACGGTAAATTTTCACTGAGAGGTATGAGTTTCCTTTTCTACCAGCAGGAAGAAGCAGTGGCTGTGATTGAGGCAGGCTTTGTAGACAAGCCTCACATTAAAATCAACCCATTCTCTGGTTCGATTTGTTCACATGTCACAAGGGAGTGCTGCTATTTTCCGGGAGGCACTCAACAGACGTGTATCGGAAAGGGAAAATTTCTCAAGGGTGGAAAATTTGTATTTTTTTGTCTCATTTTGTAATAGCTGAATTCATTTTGTAGATGGACTGCAATAATAGATGTGTCAAAACAAAAACAAAAGGAATTGTGTAGTGGGAGTGCAACTTTACCTGGAGGACACAGTATGTTGACTCCTTAGTCCCAGGAGAGCGTGCCTGCTGCATGTACCCTGTGTCTGTTTACGTGTTTAGTTTGTGTTTCTCTGTGTGCTTGTCACTCTCAAAGCCAATTCCCATGTTTCCACATTTTGTTACCTTTTCTCACTCTTACATATCTGGCTGTCTGTTTACCTGCAGTGTGCTTTTCAGTAGAAAAGTTGGTGCTGAAGGTTTGATAGACATAAATAGCAACAGACAGTTCCATAATAGTCCTGAAAGTTTGAGAAATTACTGATGTCAAAAAGAGAAATTTAAAAACAGATCCCAGCGTGCTTAAAATGAGCTGGGATTTAATTTCTTTAAATGAATAGTTCAACATTTTATCTGCTTTCTTGCTCAGAGTTAGGTGGACAGATTGATACCACTCTCATATCGCTTTGAAAAAATTGAAACCAGGACCAGTAGTTGGTTAGCTTAGCTGAGCACACAGACTGGAACTAGGGTGAAATGGTTGCCATTTTACGCGAGTTAATGTGCTGCACCTAATGTACCTTCCAATGGCAATGACAAGACGAGTCTCACTGGGCCTTGCCCTTAAAAACTGGAATATGACGGTTTTACATGTAACAGACATGACATGACGCTTAAGTTACTACACTTTAGATTTGTTGGTAGGCCTATTTTGTTACCTTTTGACAGAGCTGAGGTTGGTGTTTCCCCATACAGTCTTTATGCTAAGCCAAGCTAACTGACTGCTGGCTCCAGCTACATATTTACTGTACAGACAACACTGACAAATGACAGTGGTATCAACATCTATATATATTTTTTTGAACTGTTGCTTTTGTGAGGGGCACTTCCACACAAAACACAAATGTTACACAGTGAAAAAGCACCTACTTTTTTTATTTTATTAAGGTCAATTTTTCTGAGCTTTCTACGGTGCGAATAAAGGCATCAACCAGTCTTTTTGTGCCTATACAACTGAAGCCGTAGTCTGGATCAAGACAGCGACCTTTATTACTCCTTTCAACCTTGACAAAGGCAGGGCATACCAGAAAAACTCCTTCAGCTCTTACCTTTCACAATAAAAGCCATAAACATTCACATTATATAGCTGTTTATGAGAGGAAATTCACTCAGAACATTTCGCTGCAATCAAACTCACACACAACAACCTACCCCCGACAAACTGCTAGGTGCTGCTCTCCCTCAATAGGATACTGGTAGTTGTTGCGAATTCGCATCAGTGCCAGTGCAAAACTTTTTATTGAGTGTTGCAACTTCAGTAAATTGACGCTGTTGGAGGTAGGGACAGTTTGATGCAAAATAGTTGCAGGCGTTTGTGTTGTTTTGTTGTTCTTTTTTGTCACAGTGTGTCAAAGCCTTATATCTCAGTGAAAAAAAGAGAATGAATATACTTGGCCTTTTACTTTTAAGGTCTAGTGTGTAGGATTTAGTGGCATCTAGCTGTAAGAATGCAGATTGCAGCCAACTGAAACTCCTCCCATGTGCCAAGCATGTAGAACTACATTGGCTGACATGAAAACGCAAAAACACATACAGTAAACACAAATGGTCTGATCTAGAGCCGGTGCTTGATTTGTCCGTTGTGAGCTACTGTAGAAACAACATGGCAGACTCTGTGAAAGAGGACCCCCTCCGCATGTAGACATAAACAGCTCATTCTAAGGTAATGAAAACACCACAGTTCTTATTTTCAGGTGATTATACACTAAAGGAAACTAATAAAATAATCATGTATATTCAACGTCTGCCAATAGATGCCCCTAAATCTTGCACACTAGACCTTTAAAGTTCCAGTCACTATTTAAGTGTTGCCGTGTGTACAAAAAGCCCTTTGACTAATTTATTGGCTGCTATTTTTTCCAGGTAGCTTCATGAGTGCAGCCTCTTTGAAATGCACTCTCTTTGAAGTCTGAAGGAAATGTCCATTTACTATAATGGTCTGTCCCTTAGAGGCAGTGTCAGAAACACAAGCCTTCGTGAGCCAACCTTTGAAATAATTAAGACCAGTAGGCCGAGGGGACACCCCTCAGTTCATTAATTTCAGGTTTTAGAAATGATAATTAGCTGGCTTTTTACATCTGAAGTCGTCCTTCTCTTCCTTCTTCCCCTCGCCTGCCACCTCCCTCCTTCTCACTTTTGTGCTTCCTCTGCTGCCGTCTTCATTCCTAACTCTGTCTTTGTCATCTCCTCATCCCTCCAGTGGTTTGCTTTGATGCAAAGATCAACTTCGACGACAACGCCGAGTTCCGTCAGAAAGCCGTGTTCGCCATGGACGACATGACTGAGAGCGACCCCACAGAGATGGAGGCAGCCAAGTGGGACCTCAAATATATCGGACTGGACGGAAATATTGCCTGCTTTGGTATGGAAACAAAACCCTGAAATGGAACTCATTCCTGCGCACACGCACACACACACCATTAAATGATTTCTCCCATAAGCAAACCCCTCCTGGCATAAGGCTTTAATGTGTCTCTTAAGTCACATAAGTGAAAAACTCGGACACAGTTAAAACTTAGTCAAAGTAAAGGCAGCCTGGGCTCTCCACCAGTCCACATTACAAGCAGCTTTCCGTGGACTCCAGAAGGAATGCTGCCGTAACCAATGCGTTCTAATTAGCTATAATCCGCCCAGAAAGTCTCCAGTGAGCCAGATTGTTAGCATTCTCATTAAAGGCCCCCTCTCTTGTCATAAATCAAAGCTTTTACAGTGTACAGCAGCACTAACAGGTGCTCTCTCGTCTTACCCCGTAGCCTCATAAACACATTAGATGTCTGTTAGCACTACCCCCAACCCCCCCCATGCACACGTGCACACATACACACACACATTCTGCATCCCCAGCTCCCAGCCTCTCTTAAAGTAACAACAGCTTTTAAGGCCCTGCAGCTTCCTTGAGAGCTCTGTAAGCCACCAAAGTGACAGCTGTTAAAGTGAATTTCCCTTTTATTGAGACCTCGGTTGGGGAGCTTGCCAGGACACAAGTTCAGCTTGGCTAAACCAAATGAGGTAAGACATTTTTTTTTGTGCACTTGGCTCCTGCACAACTCAGCAGGGTGGCCGCGCCGGCAGTTGGCTAAATGATGACACCGGCCGCAAAAAAGCGCAGCAGAGCCTCTTTTAATCAACGCTCCTTTCTCTGAAGTCGGGAGTCGAGTCCTAATCAAGTTTTCTCTGTGTTGCTCGACTTGAAGCATTGAATATTCCTGATTAGAAGATTTCCAACCAATTCACTTTTTAAGTTTGACATTTTTTCTCAGCTGTTTGCTCTTCTTTGGTAGATAATTTACTGCTGGATTCCTTTGTGGGTGTTCGTACAGTACATGTCATCTTTCCTTCGGCGGCGGTAATAGTACTTTAATTAACTCATGGCTGCTGGCATCACACTTTCCTCTCAGGGACTTTTGTTTCAATTTCTGGGCTCTAGCCTGAACTTAATGGTCAGATATAACTTCATTACGCTTAATAAATTCATTAGGTCATTATAAGGTTACAGTACCATTACCTACTTGAGTCTACTATTTAGTTATCCTCTATATTTTAGTACACATTATTAATTGAACTGACGTGACAGCACATTTTTTACAGTGAATGGAGCCGGTTTGGCCATGGCCACGTGTGACATCATTGACCTGCACGGAGGAAAGCCAGCTAACTTCCTTGACCTCGGGGGAGGAGTCAAAGAGAGGCAGGTGTACGAGGCCTTTAAGCTGCTGACTGCTGACCCAAAGGTAGGAACAATCAAGTGATTCTGTCTTTTTTTCTTGTGAAGCCTGATTGTTAACAGTTCGGCACATGAGCCAGATTGGTCTCTTATTTTAAAGCACGACTTCAAAGAAAAGTCAGAGTTGCTTCTTAAAAAAAGGCTTTTGCCACCTGTTGAATTGCCTTTGATTTTGCAGTCATGTATCTTGTCATAGCACACTCATACAGCCCTGTCTGTCTGGTTAGCGCTTTGTCACTGAGACAACAGTGCTCATTAGACTAGGGACCTTGGCATATGTCCATGTTTTACTGAGGGAAGCAGAGTCTGGGAGTCTGTGTGATTATATGCCATCATTTTCAGTTGTAGTGGCATGATAAATCGCAGCCCTGTACTCCACAGCAAAACTCTTCTTTGAAAGACTCGTCATCACATGTGCACCTTCACACATGTACACACACGCATATTAACACGCAGCACAGACTCAAGTGCAGCTGAAAAATAAGAATGCAAATTTAACTCAAAGCTTGTCTCTGAAAGTCTCGCAGCTCAGGATGAGTGGCAGCTTTGGGTGTTTTACAAGTGATTCAGCTCTATGTTCAGAAAGCTAATAACTCCAAACTAAACAATATGAGCCCTGTAACGATACCATGGTGCGGATTGTGTGTTGACAGTCATCACACCGCTAATTCCCCCGTTGCTGTCACTCCCACATCCCTGGAATGATCTGCGTTTGCGTCTCCTGTTAGCATCTCTGGCAAAGCGTGGTTGTAATGCAGAGTAGCATTTGATACCCCCTTTTTTTAACCTGTATTTACACATGCTGACTTGACTTGACAGGAAATGCTTTCAAAAATCAGTTTTACACATAAAACATATCTCCACACCTGGGAGTTGTCATATTGAGCCAGTCTAGAGATGGGAATGATCCCACATGTGCAAGTCACTAGCAAGTTTCAAGTCACTGTGGTGAAAATCAAACCAAGTCACGTCGAGTCTTATGAAATTTGAGTCACGATTAGTCAAGCAAGACACGTCAACTCAAATATGAAATTCTGCTTATCCACCCGAGATTCCAAATTTAAATCGGTTTAAAGACAGACCATTGTGTTGCCCTGCCCAAAATATATGATTTAATAATTACATTATTAACGTAAACATGCGGGCGACTAGTCAACTAACAGCCCTAAATGATGACTAGTGGTCGACTAGGAAAATTCTTAGTCGGGGGCAGCCCTAGTTATTTTACGATTAGCCAACTTCATGTTAGCTGCCTTGCTGTTGGCCTCTGCTGATCTGCTGCGTCATAGTAGGTTGCACACATTGCACTAGTGCTCATCACACCAATCATGTTTCAAAAACAATACATAACTTCTCAATATCTAGACTAAAAATATTTAATAAAAAAGTAAAATCCTTTTGAGTCATCTGTCTCAAGTCAAAGTCAAGTCTTAAGTGATGAATACCAAGCAGGGATGTCAACGGTTAACCACAGAGAATATTTGTGACCAGTTGCCATGCTGTCCTGCCAGTGCTAATTGCTGAATGTGGAGCAAATGAGTAGAGACCAAAGAGCCTTGTTTCCACATCTTAACGCAGCTAGCCACCTGCATGTCGGCAAAGCCAGCTGAAAATAGAATAAAAGACGACATTTACAACACAAACAATAACATTTCCTTACATCTAAATGAGAGCGCTTTTAAATGCGGCACCAAAGCTGACTGAGTCAATAGAGCGTTGGACTAATGGGAAAGCACTTCTTGTATTTCACATTATTTTGCTTTTTTTTTTCTTAAAAATGTACCAGTTATTTACCGGTTAATAGGCGTCTGGCTATTGAGAGCTAAATTGGCTTAAACTGACCTGTCCTAATATCAAGTCAAATTCAAGTTGAATATTTTGTTAGTGTTAGTCATTCTTAAGTCCTCTTGTTTGTGATGAGTCTGACTCAAGTCAAGTCATTGAGCTGACTGACTTACATGAGGCATGGTGCTCTTTACAATTTAACTTAGGTTTTTAAACTTTAATTCCAATTTTATCATTGTCTTGTGTCAAGGGAGACTGGCAATTAAGAATGTCATTGTACGGTGCAAACTGCTGAGTTTTCCACTGTGCATATGACTATAAACTTCTTGAATCTTGAAGTCATATGACTTGAATCCCCATCTCTGCATGTTACTAATCTACATATCTACCGGAGAGGTGATGTCTCACAGCCCCTACACTGTAAATTACTTTTACATGTCTGTCTGCTTTTCTAATCTCACCAGAATAAGGCTAGCTTTCTTAATTTAAACATCCAGAACCCATGGAGAGGCTGTGAATGTAGATAAATCGACTGTAATGCAGTCTGCTCTTAAAATAGATATTCTGTCAATATTACACCACCAGAAAACTCAATTTCGCGCGAGCCTAATACTCTGTTGTAGAATTTTTCATACGCCTCAGTGTTAGTGGTGCGGGTGTGGAAATGGTGGCATTTGTTAAAGAGTTCTGCCTCATATTTATGGCACAGCAGTGCACGGACCGGTGTTGCACACCTTTATAGATGAATGTTAAAAACCCACCAACCTTAACACCGCAGCAGGTGATACATTGCTTCACTCAGATTTCCACTGTGTGTAGATTCTGTTTGGACTCACGTGAATGCTACCCAGTGGTCTGTGGTGGGAACATAAAAAAATAAATACGGTGGATGAAAAAGAAATGCAATCAATAGGGGAGAGAGAAAACTACAAAGACTTGCCACTCTCTCCTGGTATGGGGCCATCAGCTATTATTATTGAAGCCTTTTAAAAGGTGGAATTCTGCAAAAGTAAAATCAGGTTTTAAAGTCTGCATTCGTTGCACCCTTCCTACCAAGGGGGAAAAAAAAAAAAAAAAAACTCCCGCATGGACAAGAGGATCCTCCTCCACCCTCCTCCTGTTCCTCCTTCTCTTTCTGTCTTGGGCTGATTCCCTAGATCCAGATGGGGGAGTAAGCCTGCTGTCTGTCCCTCCTGCTGCTGTGTATGGAAATAGAGACAGGGAGCTCCTCCCTAACAGGGAAAAAAGTAGAATAGGATTGACATTAAACTGGGTTGGAAGCACCATTAGCATTTCAACCAGGGGAGCTGAGAAACCTGCTCTGATCTGTGGAGGGAATGTTAATCATTTCACAATAAGAGCGCGCGTGCGAGAGAGAGCTGCTCATTTGCATTTAGCTCTTTTTTTCACAAATTACCTCTCTCAAACTCAAAAATATGAGCACAAATTAAAATTAAAAAGCGTGTCCCAGCACAGGTGAATAAGACCAGTCTCAGTTATTGATTTCATCTGTCAATAAGTTACGGAGAGAGCATTGTTCTGCTTGTTTGCCTTAAATATCAAGGCAATCAGCACTTGTGGCCTTCAAATAGGCAACCCTCGTTGGTAATTTATTTAGCATTTGAAGTCCTGGATGGACTGGTTTACTTGTTATTGTTCTACCTTTAAAAACATTTCTTGTTCTTTCAGCTAATAGTTTTGACAACATGTGTTCTGTGGCTGCTTATTTCCGCTGGTACTGCATAAAATGAGTTTGATAGTGTCTATAGGGAAGGCCATTAATGTTCCGCTGCATACATGAATATATGCTATATACTGTGACTTCTGACTGGGGAGATTAGAATGGTTCATATGCTGTGGAAAAGGCAGGCGTGCATTCAGCGGCCAGGCAGGCAGTATAGCAGAAAATATACGGCTGTAATGACGCCATACATTTCCACAAAAACAGGTATTTTGGTGTCTGTCTTCCCTTTCACTCTTTCTCCCCTCAGTCGCTTTTACGCTTTTGTCTCCCTCCCTCCGTCTTTCCCGCTCTCTCCCTCTCAGTCCTCCGCTTTGATGTCTCAGGCTCATTGTACTGAGAGGAGTAGAAGTGATGTGAGTGTACTGCTGGCACTGAATAGCAGAGACGCGAGTCTGAGATGACAAAGCCTCCTTTTTTCTTGTTTGCTCACTTCTCGAGTATCTACCCTTACAGCATTCATTACCTTAAACATTATTATTCTTTGTAAGAAAAGGAAAGAGAAAACAGATGAAATGGGGATACTGTATGTGAAGCCGGAGCAACATAAAGGAAAAAAAAAAGTCAAAATGAAATGATTGGGAGGAAGAAAAAAAGAATCATAAAGCAGTGTGTAGCCCAGTGTGTGTTTTAAATACTGTATGTGAGATGTTATGTAGCTCAGCTGGGTGTACTAGAGCATTCAGCTTTGTTTGAATTTCGGCCCCCGGCTCTTTAAGCGAGGACATATTTATTTTTCATGCTAAAATAAATAGCTCCACTTTCTTCATATCCACGTATAGAACAGTCTGTTGACAGAATGGCTAAATTTATTGAGGTTTCCCTCACATCACCTGTAGGCACGAAGCAGGAGCAGGCAGCAAATACCAACAGCCAAATAACCTCGTTATTGCCTTGTGCCTGTGCCATAAAGAAAGTGGCAGATGGATGTTTTGTCCAATTCGACATCCATTTTGTTCTCAGGGCTTAAGGCAGTTTTCTATAATTTTTATGGGCTAGAGTAAATGATGACATTTTTCTAAAACACACCCTTGTTGTTGGTGTATGTCTGAATAAGAGCCGCCACTATATCAAATTATTAATTATCCTGGCAAAAAAAAAATAATTGTGTCACAGTAACATCATTGAAATAATATGTAAAATTAATCTTTGATTGTTTTTTAGTGCTTTAACATTATAATTCAGAGGCATCACCCATCTTTGCTGCTAATGAATAATCATATACTTACGTACAGTTTTTTATTATCACATTTTGTGATATGGTGACATCACACATATTAAATCTAATCCTAAAATACTCATGCAATTAATAATCACATATAGCAACTTGCTGGTAAATGCACTTGGGAGATTGGGGCTGGGGAGACAATGTACTCTATGAATGCATGTGAACCTAAGCTGGCTTGTGTGTGGTTAAAGGTGTAGTCGGTAACGTTTATTAAAAAAATAACTTTAGTCATATTTGCTGAAGCTATTTACAC